CGAGTGCTCTACCACTTGAGCTACAGCGCCACTTCCGGTTTTCTGGTGGTTTATTGGAGATAGGAGTCTCACGGTCTCTCCTGCCTGGGCTGGCTTTGAACCGAGATCCTCAGATCTCAGCCTCCTGAGTAGCTAGGATTACAGGCGTGAGCCACCAGCGCCGGGCTAAACTTAAAAGTTTTTATTCAAGTCCACAGGTATTTTTCCATTTTTGTTGGCTACCTGAAGAGATAGTTGCCAGAAAAGCAACTGGGCACATTGTTGGTCCCAAGGGCAGGTTTTTTTTTTTTTTTCCCCCCAAGGGCAGGTTTTTAACAACCATTTTCTTTGGGGCTCATAATCCTAGTGCTGAAATGCTTGAAAATCTTATTTGAAAGGTTCCATGGCTTGTATGGAAATATCTGAAAAGCCTGGCCATGTTTTTTTGCTGCTGTTGTTGCTGGTTTGTTTTTTGGTTGGAGGGCTTGAACTTGAGACCTGGGTGCTGTGCCTGAGCTCTGTTGTTCATGACTAGCACTCTACCACTTTGACCCACAGCACCATTTCTGGTTTTCTGGTGGTTAATTGGAGATAAGAGTCTCATGTTCTTTCTTATCCGAGCTGGCTTCAAACTGGGATCCTCAGATCTCAGCTTCCTGAATGGCTAGAATTACAGGCATGAACCACCGGCGCCTGGCCCTGTACATGTTTTAATTAGAGGAAACACATGTTTCTCCCTGAGTACAGAGGTCCTTTCTTTTTATTTATTCCCTTTTGAGTTAACTGGATATAGAGCTAGCAGGTGCAGGACTTGCTGTAGTCGGTTCCCATCTCTGCTCTGTGGGAATGCTTGATGTATTCAGCCTGCCTCACACTGTATTGATCAAGGTAATGAGCGGCTGTCATGTTAAATCCAGGCGAGTCCCAGAAAACCCATTTGGAAGGTGTTCTTCATAGTCAGTTGTATGTTGTGTGATTAAATAGTGATTCTCAAAGTCGGAAACATGACATCTTGCCCTTGATTTAGAAGCTGGAAGAACAATATTTATCTATACTAGAAGGCCAGCTTAGAATCCTCATTTGTCTTTGTAACATTATCAAGTATCCAGCAGGTGTCACTGTTACTGTCTGTGCTAGGTTTTCAGTTTTACTGAGCACTAACTGTGGGAAGCCTCAGTTTGGGGGGCGGGGTAATGTTTTATCAGTGATATAATGATACTTCCTATTAGTTTGCTGCTCTGTAGAACACTAGATCAAGTAACTTGCTGAGTATTTGTGTGTGTGTATGGAACTATTTTTTCTCCATCTATAAGCAAAAATAATGTGGAGATTTCCTGGTTATTTTACTGTTTCACATATAGAAAATACACATTTTAAATAAATAAATATACCTTTTTTGGTGATAGGGTTTAAACTCAGAACCTCAAGCTTGCTAGGGAGGTACTCTCTCACTTGAGTGAAGCCCCCTGCCCATTTGCTTTAGGATCCTGCATTTTTGTCCAGGTCTTAACTGGTTTGAAACCCCCTTCCCCTTCCTGTGTCTCCCAAACTGAGATGACAAGAACAACCACATCCATGCACAGATTATTGATTCAGTTGGGAGCCTCACTAACTTTTTATCTAGGCTGACCTTGAACTACAATCTTCCCAATGTAGCTGGTATTGCAGGCATGAGCTACAGTGATCAGCATATTTTTAAAAACCATTAATGCAATTTATATTCCATTTTCATTATACAAAGTAGTCTTAGATAACGTGAAATCATTTCAATCACATTTCTAACGTGCAATATGGCTCCCTTCCTCCGACCAATTCTCTGGCACCAAGTGAATGACCTAAAATTCAATTCTATTCTGTTTACCTAGCATTAACGTTAGATTCCATGACTTAAGGACCCAGTCTTCTCCACTAAAGACACTATCCCACAGTCCCAGGCCACACCTGTCTCCTCCTCCTTTCCTTTCTCTTCCCCTTCCTCCCTCTTCTCCTCCTCCTTCCCTTCCTCTTCCTTCTCCTTCTTCCTCTTTCTCTTGTTCTTCCTTTTCCTCCTCTACCGCTACTACTTCCTCCTCTTCCTTCTTCCTCCTTCCTCTTTCTTTCTCTTCTTCCTTCTCTTCTCCTTCCTTCCTTCCTTCCTTCCTTCCTTCCTTCCTTCCTTCCTTCCTTCTCCTCCATCTTCCTTCTTCTTTCTTCTCCTTTGTGTGGGTTTGTGGGGGGCTTGAACTCAGGGGCTTAGCAGTTACTTGGCTCTCTCCAGCTAGGCTTTTGGGATATTATTTTGGAGATAGAATCTGCAGACTTTTCTGCCCTGGCTGGCTTGGAACTTTCATTGCCCAGGTCTCAGCTTCCTCTGGAGCTAGAATACAGGCATGAACCGCTGGTGCCTAGTTCTTTTGCACTTCTGGCTCCCTCCCCAGCCCCCCCCCACTCCCCTCCCCCACTTGATAATTGTCTACAACTCACAAGAAAACATTTTACTGGATAAAATTCAAGAATAGGCTAATGGAAAATGACACAGGACATTGGTGGGAAAGAGTTCAAAGCTTCTATGGTATTACACTTTCTGGGTATTACACCTCCTGGCACTTCCATGGATTTACTAATCCCATTGCTTAGGGGTTTTTCATGGAAGTTCCATTACATACACAGGATTGATTAATTGCTGGCCTTTGGTGATTGCCTTCATCTCTACCCCTTCTTTCCTCCCCAGAGTTTGGTAGGACCGAGAGCTGAAAGGTCCAATCCTTTAGTTACGTGATTGGCTCCTCCTTAGCCAACCAGATCCTTACCCATCTCAATTCAATGTAGAGGCCTACAATGTTTATTAGCATAAGCTCAGAAATGATCGAAAGGTACCAATAACAAGACTCTAATCATCCAGATAATTACAAGGATTTTTAGAGGCTTTTGGTCCAGGAACAAGGGTCAAATATATGTTTTACTATGTAAAATATCACACGTGATTTCTAATGACTTCATTCATCACTATGTGCTCTATTATGTAATTCTCAGATGTCCTAGCAAACCATCAGTGGATGCCCCAACCAGTTCAGAAAAGTTACATCAGAAGAAGTGAAGGGAACATGTACTCTTTCATCTTAAAGAGTAGGCCATAGAGGGCAGCAGCCTTGAGCAAACAAACTGAAGGATAGCACCCAGACCCTGAGTTCAAGCCATAGGACTGACAAAGACCAAGGGATTATTGGCTGCATGGCTCAAGTGGTAGAGCACCAGCTGTGAGCAAGCAGTCCAAGGAGAGTTGAGAATATATATCCTTAGTTCAAGGCCAGTCAGATGACTTAGAAATCTGTCAAGATAGAATAAGAGAAAAAGAAGTGAGTGTATGCATAGGCACATGTATACAGGTACATACTTGATAGTATAGCATAGGTCTAGAGCCAGGCTGCCTGGGTTCAAAACTTTTTCACTATTTACCTTGGTGATTTTGACTCTGTCTCAATTTCTTCTGTAAAATGGAGGAGGTAAGGCTTTGAAGATAGCCTCTGAAAAGCATTTTACTCAGTTCCTGGCATAGTAAGTGTTCTGAAATGTTGGTTCATTTTACTGTTAGCCCAGAAGCCTCTTTCTCTGCCTAGGAACGTCCAGGCCCCAGCCACCCCACCCCAGGCTCAGGAACCCCAGCCTCCTGCTCTCAGGAGTCCATTGTTCATGCTTTCCCGTGTCTAGCTGCTCAGTCACAGCTACTGGGAAGGCACAGCCCAGCCTCCCCTCCTTCAGTAAGTCTTCTTAGCTGGGTACTACCTGCAGGGGTACCCATCACAGATGGAAGCCCTGAACTGTGGATCCTGAGATGATGCCCTAAAATTGCACTCCTGTCTCCTCCCTGGAAAAATAGAAGACAATGGAGAAATCCACCTGTCAGCTCAACTGGGGATTAAGTGGGATTAAGCAATCTGAGCTTCATCTCCAGCAGAGCGACCTTCACGCCTAGGCCCAAGTAGGCCCAATTTGATTTCTCAAGATCCTGGTGCTTCTCCCTGCCTAAACCCAGATTACCCAGCCACATCAGGCCAAAAGTAGGTGAAAGGGTTGGTTGGGCAGCTTTCCTAGGCTGGCAGCAGGGCAGATAAAAAGAAAAAAAAAGAGTAGGCTGGGCACTGGTAGTTTATGCCTGTAATCCTAGCTACTTAGGAGGTGAGATCTGAGAATCATGATTCAAAGCCAGCCCAGGAATGAAAGTCAGTGAGACTCTTAGCTCCAGTTAGCCCCCAAAAGTGGAAATGGGGCTGTGGCTCAAGTGGTAAGACATTAGATTTGAGCAAAAAAGCTCATGGACAGTACCCAGGATCTGAAGTTGAGTCCTAGGACTGACAACCTTCCCCCCCAAAAAAAAATTAATATCATCTCCTGCTTACCTCACAGTTCCAAGGAAAGAGGTTGAGATTGCAGAGCAGCTCCATTCCATGCAATCCATCCTTGTTCTCCAGAATCCGCATCAATGACAGTTTGCTGGGAGTGCCAGCCGGCAATAATGATCAGAAAGGTGTGGAGATGGCTTGCTCACACCCATGGAGCCTGGGACCTCAAGAAGCCCACCTCCTTCCACCCTTGCTCCATTGTTAAAATGTAGTAATGTCACCACCCCTAACTGCAAAGTAGGTTGGGAAGTTTTGGTGTGTCCCAACGTTGGCTGGTGACTCATTGGTTCCATTGGCAATGACCTTCAAACATGGCTTCTAATTTCCCTTTCAGGAGGTGAACTCTGTGTACAGAATTCTGGCTGGGATTTTGAATATCGGGAACATTGAGTTTGCAGCTATTTCCTCTCAACACCAAACAGATAAAAGTCAAGTGCCCAATGCTGACGCTTTGGAGAATGGTAATTATTTGTGTCTGTGTGCTCTGTGGTGTCATAGTACATATTTCTCTCACTCTGCTAGTTTTCCAAGAAGCTGTAGGATGTAATGCAGCTGTGGCCATTCCTCCACCTGCTCTGGATGTTTTCATTATCCCAAAAGAAGCCCTGGGAAGCTGCAAATAGGTTTTCTATAGAAACAATTGCATGGCGGGCATCTGTGGGTGATCGCTCTCCAACCTCAGTTGGTTCTGAAAATCGTCTGTAAGTTTTTGAGAAAGTACAAGAATTCACATCCCACTCTAAATTTCCGAGTCAGCATCTGCAGGCAAGAAAGCAAACTTCTATTTACCCTTAAAATTTACCTGTAATTATGGTGACACAAAGAATGAGAAATGTCAGTTACAAAAAATAGGAACCCAAACTGATTTAAATATAGTCAAGCCTTTTCAGTGTTGACCTATACTGCTTTTTAGTCGTTTTCTTTATGTGTAGGCATTCGATCTGAACATATGGTCCCCTGCTTGCTTGGCTGTCTTGCCTGGGGGGTGTTCTGCTTCTTGAGGCAAGCCTTTGGCACATTAACACTGCGATATACTAATGTGATATGTGATTCTCTTTCTTCAATTTGTTTCATTGAAGATAATCCCATCTTCAATTTTACCTGGGCAGGGGCACTGTCCTCTTAGCTTTTCCATCCAAGGCTTGTGTTCTACCACTAGAGCCACAGCTCTATTTATCTCCTTTTTGTGGTTAGTTGGAGATAAGCATCACACTGACTTTCCTGCCTGGGTTGTTTGAACTGTGATCCTCAGATCGCAGCCTCTTTTTTTTTTTAATTTTTAACTTTTTAATTTTATTGTAAAGATGCTATACAGAGAAGTTCCAGTTACACGAGCAAGGCAATGAGTCCATTTCTTGTTGAACATTATTACCCACTCCTTTGTTGTTCTCCCACTCTCCCCCCTCTCTCCAGCCTCTTGAGTAGTTCGGACTGTAGGCATGAGCCACTGGAGCTTGGCCCCACCCTCTACTTAAAAAAAAAATCAAACACTTGTGAAGAGCTGTCAGAGCAATGTGGACCTTCCTCCCTGACCTCTCCCCGCCCCCTGCCCCCACACACACAATGGCTGGCTGGAAGTGTCTTCCGGGTCAGAAGATTGGCTTTGCTTATCTCTATTCTGAAGTACCTAGCATAGAGGCTGGCACATGCTAGCTAAAAGGCTGACGGACTGAAGGAAAGGCCACAGTCCCAGTATCTCCTTCCTCTGTGTTTCAGCTGCCTCAGTTCTCTGCATCAGTCCCGAAGAGCTGCAGGAGGCCCTCACGTCCCACTGTGTGGTCACTCGAGGGGAGACCATCGTCCGCGCCAACACGGTGGACAGGGCTGCGGATGTCCGGGATGCCATGTCCAAAGCCCTGTATGGGAGACTCTTCAGCTGGATTGTCAATCGCATCAACACTCTCCTGCAGCCAGACAAAAACATATGGCAAGTGCCCTGGGAGAGCAGAGGCCTCAAGCGAGCGGGCCTGCACACCTGTCTCTTAGAGCTTTGCGAGAAAGTGTTTGGACCTAGCTAGAGTTTTCTTTAGCAAAGCTCTCAGGCTCTTTCCTGAGACAGGCTTAGGGCATGCCGAAGAGTTCATCCCTGAGCAGTGAATGATGGATGGAGTCAGTCAAGTGAAGTATGTAAGGGGAGGAGCTAGCCAGGAGCTGAATAAACCAGATTCACATCCACACCAACAGCTTAATCAGCTACATGTTCTAAGCCACAGAATAGATCCTTCTCATAGCACTTTTAGAATTAAATGGGACACTTTTGTTTTCCTGATCATTGATTTCCTGTGCTGTGAAAGAATTGACATTAGATACTTAAGAGTAGGTAGTAAACGTAGGTGGAAGGATGTGTAGGGAAAAGCCACAGCCCATTCCTTTTATGTATGGCGCTTCTGGTTTTGTTTTTGTTTGTTTGTTTTTGAGGCAGGCTTCAAACTCACCATCCTTCTGTCATCTCAGTTTCCTAAGTGCTGGGATTACAAGTGTGTACTATTATATCTGGCTCTAAGTAAGATTTTAAAAGATTGTACTTTTTTTTTTTTTTAAGTTTACTGCTGAAGGACGCAAGGCAAAAATGGCTTAAGACAAAAACTGCCTCTTGCCCTGGAGGTGACCGGAGGCTGCCTTCCTGGGGTGGCGGGCCCTGGGTGGTCATAGGTGCTCTGGAGGATGTATTCTTGTCAGCTTGAAATGGCGGGGTTGCCTCTTCTAAAGAGTCTGACTCATCTCATCTCTCCCATGCAGTAGTGCAGACGATGGAATGAACGTGGGGATCTTGGATATCTTTGGGTTTGAGAATTTTCAGAGAAATTCCTTTGAGCAGCTCTGCATAAACATCGCCAATGAACAGATCCAGTACTATTTCAATCAGCACGTGTTTGCCCTGGAGCAGGTAACGACTAAAGCTGATGGGGAAGGGATCTCCGAGGGACCCAAGAGGGGAAGCCAAAACTCTCCTAGGCATACACGTATAACCACTGGTGGTTCAGTCCTGTCAAAATGAACTCTCTAAATTTAGTCTGGGAAAAAAGGTCTTGATATTTGTACAAAAGTACTTTTTTCCCACTTTAGTAGACCTGATGATGAGCCAATTATTTAAATCTTACTTTGAAATTCTTGCGTGTGAATTGCTCAGAGTGCTTTATTTCCGTCCATGTTAGTTAAAAAATATGTGATAGGGACCATAATGGCACAGAATGACCTTGAATTCTGGACATGAGCTCTTAGCAACCACCAAAGCCATGCCTTGTCTCCCATCTCTACACCAGACATCTTATCTCAGTAACTTGAGAGGAAAGAGTCAGATACGTCTTGGATTTCTGGAAGTGGAAATCTTGCTTCCTGAGCCCCAGGCTCAGGAGCTGGTGGAGGCTAGGATGTGGGGGCCCTTCTTCAGCCACATCTACCTAAGCAGAAGAGTCAGAGAGGGGGAAGTCACCATCCTGGGAACACATAAACCCAAAACCACCTCTAGCAATGTGTTTCTACAGGATCTGGACTCTTCTTGCTCATCTGTGCAGAACTCGGCCTTCCTTCTGTCTGGGATCCTTCCATTTATCTCCCTGGGAAAGCTGGAGTATTTTTGTTTTCTTCCCAGTTTTCTAGGTTTTAATGATTCCTTCATAGAACGAGGATAAAACACAAAATTACAGCTTGACTTCCTTTCTTTCAAAACTTCTGGATTATGAGTTTCGAAGTCTGGGAGACAGCTTTGGCTGGCTCCAGCTGCCTTGGGCCATCTATAAGTCACATTAAAGTACACATAAAAGCCAGGCATTGATGGTTCACACCTGTAACCCTAGCTACTCAGGAGGCTGAGAGTTGTGGTTTAAAGCCAGCCTGGGCAGACTCTTATTTTTAAGACACCCAAAAGCCACAAGTGGAGGTGTGACTCAAGTAGACACTAGCCTTGAGTAAAAAAGCCAAGCAAGAGTATGAGGCCCTGAGTTCGAACTCTAGTATAAGACACACACACACACACCATACACACACACACACACACATTCAAGTTTGCTGGGAAATCCAGGCCCAAGTATGCTGATGATACCAAGGCCAGCTGGGGATAGAGAGACTAACTCTCAGTTTCCCTCCAGATGGAGTACCAGAATGAGGGCATTGATGCCATCCTTGTGGACTATGAGGACAATCGTCCGCTTCTGGACATGTTCCTCCAGAAGCCCCTGGGCCTGCTTGCACTCTTAGATGAGGAGAGTCGATTTCCTCAGGCAACGGACCAGACCCTTGTTGGTAGGTACCATTTGGAAGAAGGCAGCCAGCGCGTGGCCATGGCCCATGTCCCCAGAGGCACTGATTTCATGAGTTCACCCTGCGTGCTTTGGCTCCCTGGTGACTGGGAAAATATACACCCTGTTTTTTACATTTCTATTTAATTGTAATATTCGGATAGAATTTGTGGCTTAAAGTAATCCCATGGCCATTCTCAAACTCTTCTCTTCTTCCTATTCCTGCTGACACAAAGACTCTCACCCTATGCTGATACAATTTTTCAGAATGTTTTCCCTTAGTTCCCACAACCAATACTTTGCTTCCTTTCCTCTTTGCAATACAGTAATAATTCAGACTGGCATATAAGCCCTTGCTCTGGATCTCTCATGGCTCAAGAAGGGTGAGGTTTGTTTTCTTATTTTTATATAGGCAGTACTGGGATTTGAGTTCAGTGTCTTGCATTTGCTAGGCAGGAACTCTACTACCTGAGCCATGCTTTTAGCCCCTTTTTGCTTTTGTTATTTTTCAAATAGGCTCCTACTTTCCCCCTAGGCCTGAATTTTGATCCTGTATAGCAGAGATAACAAGCATGTGCCTCCATGCCTAGAATATTTTTATTAGTTGGGCTGAGCTCTTGCAAATTTTTTGCCCAGCTACCCTTGGATCACAATACTCTGGGTCTTAGTCTCCCCAATGGCTAGGATTACCTATGGGATTACCTATAGGATTACCTATATGAGCTACTCTCCTTGACCTGGATATTTTTTTTGTTTGAGAGAACCCAAAATTCACATTCTATCTCTCCAACATGGAAATCTACAGATAAATTTGAAGACAATCTGCGATGCAAATTCTTCTGGAGACCCAAAGGGGTGGAACTGTGCTTTGGCATCCAGCACTACGCTGGAAAGGTGAGTGAGGGGTGTGCAATCAGACCTAAGTAAATGTCCACCTTACTCTGAAGTGCTGCCCACAGGATTGTGTGTACATTTCCTTAAAAAAAATTCTTCTTGACCCAAATCCTAACTCCCAAACTTTGTCAGTGGTGCTGCTCACCGAAGCTGCTCCTGGCACAGAAGCAGTTTCTCACTGGGGTAGCTCACAGAGCTGGCATCTGCTTCTCACCCGAAGGCTGGCCTAGAGCTGACAGCTCCCCAGAGAGAAAACACATTATAGCTTTCTCAGTGTGCTGCCACGAATAGCCATAGACTAAAGTCATTTGGAGATGGGAGGTAAGGCAGGAGGGTTAAGATCACAATGGGGCACATCTATTCGCACTTTAAACAGGCCTGCAGGTCACCAAAGATGGCCAGATGGAAGAACACTTTCTATAGTCCAGAGGCTACACCTTTGCAGTGCTAATGGGCATCTCCAGTTTTCATGCAACCCGCCCCAGTGTCAATTTCACATTCCTGAAGTGAATTCATGATGGACCCAGGAAATTCTCTAGTCTCATAGCCATAATTCATTGTTATTGTTTCTCCCATGAGAGCCAATTGAATTATGCCTAATTGGTTCCTGTGGGGTTTTTTGAGGCCCTGGATTGAGAAAATGGATAAGAGTTCAATGAAAGACATTTGGGATTGTGTTGTTGATCCAGGATGTGTCCAAATTATCAATCATATTTATATCAGACATTGAAGGTAATTTTTCCTGACTGGGTATTGACCAAAAAGCCATTCCAATACAAGAGGAGGACTGTGTTTTCTGTCTACCCAGTATTTGATGCAGTCTACTTTGGATGTTGGTTAGAAACTGCAGACTAGTTTCTGTGTTTAACTGCTTCAGTCACCTTACTACCAATGTCCGACTAGGTATTAATGTCCTCTGAGTCTGAGATACCAGCGCCTGCCTTGATCTCTGTTCTCTCTGCCTCCCATTCCTGCCCTCTTCATGTTAACCTCTCTTTCCATCTTGTCATTTTATATCTTCTCTTCCTACCCACCCTTCTTCATCCCTCCTTCTCTTTCTTGCTCTGTATCCTTTGCTGAATTTGCCATTCAAAAGTATTTTTATACAAGGGATTTTTGTTTTTTGAACTCAGGGCATTGTGCTCTTGCTTAGCCTTTTTTTTTTTTAAACTTGTCTGATACTTGAGCCATAGCTCCACTTTTTGTTGGTTATTTGGAGACTAGAGCTTCATAGACTTTTCTGCCTGAGCTGGCTTCAAACTGCAATTTTCAAATCTCAGCCTCCTAAATAGGTAGGATTACAGGAGTGGGCCACCAGCACCTGGCTTAGATGAAAGGTTCTTTGGAACAGACCTTAAAGTTTCTCTGAGCTGGATCATCGGTGTTATGAGAGTTAAAAACTGCTCAGCATCATTGAGTGAGTACTAGCGATGCAGGGCGAGTGCATCTGGGGTGAGCACAGAGCCCATCTGCCAGATGTGAGGCCCACCTACCACCACTCAGCCTCTTTCTAAACCTTGGCTTGCCCCCCAGAGAATGAGATACTAGTAAAGTTAGTGTATAGGATGCATGCTTTGCACACGGTGAACATGTAATTTAACCATTATCCTAGTGTGATATATTTTGGATAGAATTCTTTTCTTCAAAGACAGCTGGACGAGAAGCCAAGATAAACCAAATTGTCAAAAATCACTCCTTTCTCCACTTATCGGGTGCTCTAGATTTAGATGTGTCAAGATGATGGCTGGCCAGACGGCTCACTGGTCAGTGTCTCAGGTGACTACGAGTTGTCTTGGCTAACTTGCTACTTGTGGTCTGTATTACAGGTGTTATATGATGCCTCTGGAGTTCTTGAGAAAAACAGAGATACGCTCCCTGCTGATGTGGTTGTAATCCTAAGAACATCTGAAAACAAGCTTCTCCAACAACTTTTCTCAATCCCTTTAACCAAAACAGGTACCTGGGAACCTAATGACTCCCTAGTACTTATACAAACCAGGAGTGTTTTACAGTCCATGGCTCAGCCAGTATCTGCCTCAGTTCACTTGAAATTATTGGGAAAATTATTTTAAGACACGTGTGGTTTTAAGTAGGGGGAGCACGGTAAATCAAACGTTATCTGAGCGGGGCATCAGTGGCTCACTCACACCCATAATCCTAGCTACTCAGGAAGCTGAGATCTGAGGATCATGGTTCAAAGCCAGCCCAGGCAGGAAAGTCTGTGAGACTCTTATCTCCAATTAACCACCAGAAAACTGGAAGTAGTGCTGTGGATCAAGTAGTAGAGCACTGGCCTTGAGCTGAAAAGCTCGGGGACAGCGCCCAATCCCAGAGTTCAAGCCCCACAACCCAAAAACAAACAAAAACCCCATAAAAACAAAACCCAAAGGTCATCTGATTGTGGGATCCTCAGAGATCATTTGGTTCAATTTCTTACCTAATTGGCAGCCCTGGCCCACCATTTAACCAACTGGAACACACATGCCTTCCCTACGATCAACCCCTATGCAGCTGTTCTATCAGTCCTCATGCCAGGAGTCAGAAAACCAGGGCGAAGCATGGGAGGGACCTCGCAGGTCTTTGCTGTCTTGCCAAATGGATTCTAAGTGCCTTTGATTTACCTGAGGTCCCTGCTGCCTTTGGCTGGTCAGCCAATTCTCATAGCTTTAGTATCCAGGCTTTATGATTTTTGAAGCAATGTCTGGGAAGTGATTGTGTATAGTAAGAGAACTCTCTCCCTCCCTTCCTCCCTTCTTTCCTCTCTCCTTCCTTCTCTCTCTGTCTCTGTCTCTCTCTGTCTCTGTTTCTGTCTCTCTGTCCCTCTGTCTCTCTTTGTGCAAGTCCTGGCTCTTGCTCAAGGCCTGGGTGCTGTCCCTGAGGTGTTTTGCTTAAAGCTAGAGGTCTACCCCTTGAGTTACAGCTCCACTTAGTTGAAGATAAGAATCTCATAGATGTTTCTGCTCTGGCTGACTTTGAACTGTGATCCTGAGATCTTAGTCTCCCCAGTAGCTAGGATTATAAGCATGAGCCACTTGTGTCCAGCTGAGAAATCTTATGATCACTCATTGTTTCTTCGTCTTCCCATATCCCTCTTTAAATCCTTATCATGGACCATATAGGACACTTGTGTTCCAGAAGAGAGTGAGTACCAGTCTGATTTTAAGCACTATGAGGTGTAATGCAAAGCCTGGCTAAGGAAAATAAAGCTACAGGGTATAAGTTGAGGGAAGTTGAAGTCAGGCACTCAGTGGTGCTCTGTAAACAAAGCTTGTAACAGAGTGCTCTTAGAAGCTTCTCTCCTGCACCCTCTCCACATCCTCTTTGGCAACAGTGGGATTTAATTTATTTTGTACTCAAGGGACCTCCTGCAAGGGACCTCCTGGGCGAGAGTGGGCAGGGTTTTTCCCTCTAGTGAACTCAGGAGCCCCGGCTCTTCCTCAGGCCATCTCCATGCTCAGGCATGGCCATCACTTAGGAACATTTGAAAACCTATCCAAATGACTCTTCAGCTTATATTCACACTCTCACATAAACATAGATAATGACTTGCTAATCTGTTATAACTGGAATTTCCAAATTGTCAGCCAAAGTTTGTCAAGATAGAAACAATTTCACAGCTAAGACCACTAGATGGCACTATGCAGGAAGCAAGGTTATAAAGGGAGCTGTGGGCTCTAGAGTTGCCTGAATTCCAGAGGAGCGAACAAAGGGACAGCTCCACAGGGATTTCTCTTTTCTTTTCTCTTTCCTTTCCTTTCCCTCCTTTCACCTCTTTTATTTCATTTTCTTTTATGTGTATCTTTTCAAATTTTCTTTTCTATTTTCTTTATTTTCTTCCAAAAAGATGACAACTTCTAATAATCTTTCCTTTGAGTTCTACTCTATATCATCCAGGAGAAACAAAGATTTAAAAAATCAGGAATGAACTAGTTATCCTGACGAGCTTCTTTCTTTGTCAGGAGATACGTGTATGTTTATAGAATAATTCATTTGGAAATCCTAAGTTTGATTTTCTCTACCTTTTGAGTATAACTAAGAGACCTCACAGAAACATCAAAACTAACAACACAATTCATTTTCTTTTTCTGGAATTATTCATGTAAAAATGCATTCAATTAACAAATACAGAACAGCTTCTGATGAGAAGGTAACAAGGAACTACAGTGGTAATGACTGTCTCATAAAGCACAAGAACTTTCTTTTTTTTTTAATTGTAAGAATACCGTACAGAGGAGTTACAATTAATGGGCAAGATAATGAGTACATTTCTTATCAAGCATTGTTGCCTCCTCATTGTTTCCCCTTCCCATCCCTTCCCATCCTCATCAGCACAAGAACTTTCTTAACCTTCACTTTCTGTCTAGAACAAGACAGGCACTAATTGATCTCAAACCTTAGTTTCACCTCAAACCTCAGTTTCAAGGGGGCTGTGTATCCTGTGTTGGCATGTCAAAATGTTAATTTTCTAAAGTTTAAGAATGTCTATATCTATATGTTTTGTTTTATTATGTTATAGATTTTAAAAGATCACCAATATAGACTGTGATTTTTTTTTTTGTCATAGGGTTTGAACTGGGGGCCTGGGCACTGTCCCTGAGCTTTTCTGCTCAAGGCTAGTGCTCTACCACTGTGAGCCACAGCTCCATGTCTGTTTTTTGGTGGTTAATTGGATGAGTCTCATTCACTTTCCTGCCCAGGCTAGCTTCAAGCTGTGATCCTCAGATCTCAGCCTCCTGAGTAGCTAAGATTCCAGGCATGAGCCACCAGCACCCAGTGATTATGCTTTTTAAAATGTGTGTGTGTGTGTGTGTGATGTGTGTGTGTGATATGTGTGTGTGTGTGTGTGTGTGTGTGTGTGTGTGTACAGGTACTAGGGCCTGGGCTTTCCTGAAGCTTTTTGGCTAGTGCTTTATCACTTAAGCCATAATACCACTTCTGACTTTTTGGTGGTTAATTGGAGAGTCTCATGGACTTTTCTACCTGGGCTGGCTTTGAAACTCAACCCTCAGCCTCGGATCTCAGCCTCCTGTGTAGCTAGGATTTCAAGCATGAGCCACTGGTGCCTGACTTGGTTATGCTGGTTTTGTGAAAATGGAAACATTTGCTTCAGGGGCATGCCATCCTCAATGAAAGGAAAGTGGCTGTACGTTCTTTCTAGAAGAAAAGTCCCACAAGCTCCTTAGAGTCTTGGAAAAGAACACGCTAACATTTTCCTAGCGTACGGACCATTTGAGGATTCTTTTAATTTTTATTTATCCTACTTCAAATCTGTAAGGTTTTGCCAAAAGGAACTACCATGCGGTTTAGGCAGAAAAGAGTTTATTATCCAAACCACTGGCCTACATGAGAGAAGGGGCAGGACAAGGGGAGACTCCAGGTAGAACTGGGGTTAATGTAGGGGGAGAGTGGGGAGGAGTGGCCATGACCCATGGAGGAGGATGGATCTGGCCTGAGTCTGGGAAAGCCTCACAGCACCAGGAGGCTTGCTGTGGGCAGTTGAGGACACAGCCTCAGAAAAGGGGGAGGTGTGCCAGTCACCTGGGTGATGCAGGTGCTAACAAAATCCTTACGCAGTTGTTTTGTTTAGATCAAGTTAGGTGCTAGTACAGTGAACATAGACCTATAGATTGGCAATTCCTTTATGAGTCCCTTCGGGGAATGAGGGACATGGAGGAGGGAAAAAGAGCAAAGTTAGGAAGCCTTGGGGGCTATTGTCCAAAACTTGAAAAGAGGACCAGGCTTGGACTTTTCGATTTTGAGAGGAGAGGAGAGGATGTTTGCTAAGAAGCTTCCCAAAGAGTCAGGTGCTGTAAGGATCATGGTTCGAGGACAGCCTTATGCAGAAAAGTCCTTCAGACTCTGCCTCACTGGAGGGAAGCGGGGGATGGCAGTGGATGCCTGCGATCCCAGCAACTATGGAAAATGTAAGGCAGATTGTGGCTCATTTGCATGTATGCCCTTAAAACAAACAGTAAAAAGTTGGGCTAGAGGTGTGGTTTAAATGGTAGAGTGCCTACCTAGCAAGTTCAAAGCCCTGAGTTCAAACTTCAGTACCACCAGAAAATAAAAGGGGAAAAAAATAAAGCCTCCTAATGAATATTGCAATGTTCTTGGGCTCTGGCAATGCTGGTTACAAGTATGCTAGCCTTGTGTCAATGGTATGTGTCTGTATGTAAACAAACATGGGTTTGTTTTCCCCAAAAAGTAAGGAAGGCCCCTTAAAATGCAAAGGAAATTTTAATTTCTTCATCTGAGTATTCCTTCCAGATAAATTGAGGTTTCCTATTACTGTCCTTTGCTTTCAAAGCCAGGTACCATGGGACACCAGGCTGATTTCCCTGTGCTCTCAAAATTAGCTTCCTCTCTGGATTGCAGAAGAGGTAACATGTCCTTCCCAGTAATGTCAAACTGGGGACTCAGCCATTAGCATATTGGTATTTAGGGGGGCATTATTGCACAGCCAATTATAGTATAGAGGGGACCGTAATATAAAAGCAGAGCTAGGATTGTTGTAGCATTTTCCAGTTTCTGGTCCATGTTTCCCCATAAATGGTGTGTTTTTTGTAATTCTTTCTATTGATTGGAAATTCTCAGGAGATTTTCTGGGTAGAAATTTGGCTTTACTACTTTGTAAAACTACTTTCACTAGTAGCACTATGAGCACTTTTCAACTAAATGCTCTAAGCAAAAAAAAAAAAAGAAAGAAAGAAAAAAGAAAAGATGTCATAAATAAAAAAAGGAAAGATGAGTGGGGCACCATTGGCCCATGCCTGTAATCCTATCTACTCAAGAGGCTGAGATCTGAGGATCAAGGTTCAAAGCCAGCTCAAGCAGAAAGTATGTGAGACTCTCATTAACCACCAAAAAGCCAGAAATGGAGCAGTGGCTCAAATGGTAAAGTGTTAGCCTTGAGAAAAACAAAACAAAACACTCAAGAATAGTGCCTAGGCTTTGAG